TCCCGCTCCTCGCGGCTGGGAAAGTCGGCCAGGTTCCTTGCCGACTCCACGCGCTCTATCCACGCGTGGACCTGCCGCGGTGGCGTGGCCGCGCGCGCGTGTCTGGCGGCGCGCGGTTGCCGCGCTGCCTGGAGCGCCACTACCGCCGACCAGAATAGGTGCACGAGAAAATTGTGGTCGCTTGACTTTGCGGCGCCCTTCCTGAAAGTGCACTCAGCGACGCTGTTGTCTGAGAAGAAGACCACGCGGCGGCCGGCGAGCGCGCGCGCCCACGTGGACAGAGCCACGCACTGCGCCAGCATCTCGAGCGCCGCGATCTGCTGATCATTGCGGGCGCGTAATCCGCTGCACCAGTCGCGCAACGCCCGACGCGCGCGCGCGCCGCGGACCGTCGCGCCGAGACCTGAGAAATTCTTCTGGCGGGGCCATGTCGGCCCACTCGAACATGTCTTCTGTGAGTAAAATTGCGGCGAGTCGCGCCGGGCTGCCGCGGGCGCCCGCCAGCACGAGCACCGGCGGGCGCGCGTCGCGGCATCGCCAGAGCCGCGCGCGGGCGATGTCCCGTGCCAGTACGTCTCGCCACCAGCGCAGCGCGTCGCTCGCGTGCCCCGCGAGGCGGGGCAGGGAACCGCATGCCTGGTCGAAGAGCGGTCGCACCATCGAGAGCGCGGCGCGCTCGAACACGGGGCAGCATGCCCACGACAGGCGACCCGCCATCTTCGACGCCTCGCCGGCCGTGAGCGCGCCTGACCTCAAGGCGCCGTCGATGACGGCAATCCACTGCTTTACTTTTTCGTCGTCGGGCTTGACGTGGAAGCCCGATGCCGACGACCGGACGCGCAGCCCCAGGATCACGATCGACGGGCCCCACGCCATTTTTCGGTCCTGCATGGCGCTGGGCCCGAGGAGAGCGCGCACCAGCCTCGCAAAACACTTGTCGGCGTGCTCCGCGAGGCCCTTCCTCTCAACCGAGAAGAAGTCGTCAACGTAGCGCAACGCCGGGAGCCACAGCAGCTTGCGCGCCGCGGCCGCCAGGAAGGCGCCCGCGCGCTCCCATCCGTGCACGCAGGCCAGGCCCCCGAAAGGCAGCGTGATGTGCTGGGCGGCCATGACACGCCCGCGCAGGCGGTAGGTCACCCATGCGACCGCGCGGTGCCTAGGCAGGACTGGCACGCGCCTGAAGGCGGAGTCCACGTCCGCTTTCCAAAATACGAGCTCAATCGAAATCTGCGCGCGCACGGGATTGACGCGCCGCTGCAGGCTGGGTTGCGCGCGGCGCACCTCCTCGTGAAAGGCACTTGCCAGTGCAACCTCCTCGTCAAATCCCGAGCGCGGGGCGCGCGCCCCAGGCACACACACACACACACACACACACACACACACACACACACACAAACCTGCGGTACCTGCGCGCGGCCGCGGCGGGCAGCGGCCGCGCGCGGGGGCGCGCGGGCCTGCCCACATCGCCTGCGGCGCGCCGCGGCGCGCGCGAGCCAAGCGGCGGCGCGGCGACTGCTCGCGCCTGCGTCCGCCGCGTGCGCCTGGGGCCAGCGAATGCGTGCGATGGAACCAGGGGCCGAACTCGTTCCATACAGAAAAAAAGAGGTGGGGGGTGATGACTAGGGGGGGGGATACCATGGCGTGGGCCATGATATTTCCCCAGATGTCATGGCGCCTCCTTATTTCATTACGTCCCTGGCCCCCCCTTTGGCCGCGCACATGTCGCCGGCCATGATTTGCACCCCCCCCCTTTGGACATCCCCCTCTTGGCCGCCCCTGATCCTCAAGGACGTACACAGTCCGCAATGCAGTTGATGATCGCGAACAGCGCTCGAAGTGGCAGCGGCGAGAAATCAGTACGAGGTCACGGCGCTGACACGATGCGTTGCGGACAAGTACAGAATGCAAGTGCCCAACCACATGAATGCGAGTCATCAAATAGTTGGCGCCGTGAAGAGCAATGACACACATAATGATGTGTTGACACCATATATGTGTTGTTGCTGGTGTTGTTGATGTTGCTGGTGTTGTTGGTGGTGGTGGTGGTGTTTGTGTTGGTTTTGCTGTTGCTGTTGCTGGTGTTGTTGCTGTTGAATATTAAGCACTAAACAATTATTGTTGTTGGACACCTTAAAGGCGCTTTGGCGCTCTCGCCTCGACGCGGGTTACATGTTCATTGGAAATGAGGCTCACGTTCGAGCGGTTCTGGGGACCGCCAAAACCGGCCTCCCAGCAACAACTTTGTTCCCGCTCGAGATTTCCTTTTTTTTACTCAAAGCTGGTGTTTTTGCTCGTCGCCGAAAGCCGCCGTCCTAACAAAACCAGCGCTCCCGCTCGAGACTTCCTCCTGTTTTACCTTGGACTGGCGCGCGAGTCTTTCTCTCATCGGCGCCGCCCCCAGCAAAAACACTGTTCCAGCTCGAGGCTGCCTCCCTTTTTTACTCAAGGCGGTGCTCTTCCTCGCCGCCGAAAACCGCCGCCCCGACAAAACCAGCGCTCCCGCCAGAGACTTCCTTCCGTTTTACGCTGGACTGGCGCCCAACTCTCTTTTGAATTGGCGCCGCACCCAGCAAGAACAACGCTCCCGCTCGAGGCTTCCTCCCTTTTTCCTGAAGACGGTGCTGTTCCTCGCCGCCGACAACCCCTGTCCCGACAAAACCACGGCTCCTGGTCGATGCTTCCTCCCTTCTTATTCAAGGCGGTGTTCCTCCTCGCCTCCGAAAACCGCCGCCCCGACAAAACCAAGGCTCCCGCCCGAGACCTCCTTCCGTTTTACGCTGGATTGGCGCCCTATTCTCTTTTGAATTGGCGCCGCTCCTAGCAAGAACGACGCTCCCGCTCGAGATTTCCTTTCTTTTTCCTCGGGACGGTGCTGTTCCTCGCCGCCGACAGCCCCCGTCCCGACAAAACCACGGTTCCCGCTCGATGCTTCCTCCTTTCTTATTCAAGGCGGTGTTCCTCTTCGCCGCCGAAAGCCGCCTTCCCAACAAAACCAGCGTTCCAGCTCGAGATTTGGTGTTGTTTTACGCTGGACTAGCGCCCGACTCTCTTCAGCATTGGCGCCGTTCCCAACAACAACAGCAGCCCTGCTCGACACCTCCTCCCTTTCTATTCAGGGCCAGGTCCTTGCCTCACCGCCGACAGCCCCCATCCCCACCAAGGCAATCCTGTCGACCGAAGTTTCTTGTGCTGTACCCTTCGCTGGGGTTCCACTGGCAGTCTCGCATCGGCGCAGCAAGGCGCGGGCATGTGTTTTCGAGGCCGGATATGTTGAAATCCCTCGGGGGAGGTGTTTACAAGACCTCATTGGGCGGGAGATCTGGAAATGGGAATAACGGACCCCGCTATAGAACAATGATGTCCCATGATGTGGATGGTTATGATAATCGCATGCTTCTTGTGGAAACATCGCGCATGAGGGTAAAATGATTGTTGTTGTTGATGTTGTTGCTGAACTCTCATTTCTGGAGAATAATTATTGTTGATCCCCCCCAACCGGTGCATAATGTTTGTTTTCAATCAAAGTGTGCCCTCGACGCTCGCACCCTGTTTCTTTATCAGGGGAAGTCTTGAGGCTCAAACTGAGCCCCTTGCCTCTGGATTACAACAACAACGGTTCCCGCCTGAGACTTCCTCACAATCTAGCCAGGACCCCCGCTCCCGCCCGAGACTTCATCGCATTTTATTCAGGAATCGCGCTCTCGCGTGGGACCCCCTTACAATTTTTTCAGGAATCGCTCTCCCGGCGCTCTGGAGTCGCGCTCTCGATGGAGATTTGCTTGCACTTTACTGAAGAGTAGCGCCCTTGCGTTGGAATTTCCTGCAATTTACTCCAGCGCCGCGCTCCCGACACCCAGGCACCCAGGAGTCGCGCTCACGCTTAGGACTCCCTCACAGATTACCTAGGAATCGGATCTCGCCGCCCTTCGTGGCCCCGTTGCAGCCCTTCGTGGCCCCCTCGCTGCCCTTCGTGGCCCCGTTGCAGCCCCTCGTGACCCCCTCGCTGCCCTTCGTGGCCCCCTCGCTTTGTTTCGTGGCCCCGTTGCAGCCCTTCCTCCCCCTCGCTGCCCGTCGTGGCCCCGTCGCAGCCTTTCGTGGCCCCGTTGCAGCCCGTCGTGGCCCCCTCGCTGCCCTTCGCGGCCCCGTTACATCCCTTCGTGGCCCCCTCGTTGCCCTTCGTGGCCCCATATATATATATATATATATGCCCTTCGTGGACCCCGCTCGTTCGCGCCCGTGGTGGCCACATATGCATGCCCTCAGCGGCCCCGTCCTTGCCCTCCGCGGCCAAGTATACGTATGCCCTTCGTGGCCCCCGCTCGTTCGCGCCCGTTGTGGCCCCATGTGCATGCCCTTCGTGGCCCCGCTGTCGCCGTTTGTGGCCCCCTCACTGTCCTACGTGGCCCAGTTGCTACCCCCAGTGGCCCCATCGTTGCCTTCTGTGGCCCCGCATTGTCTGCCCTTCGTGGCCCCCGCTCGTTCGCGCCCGTCGTGGCCCCATACGCATTCCATTCGTGGCCCCGCTGTCGCCCTTCGTGGCCTACTTCTTGTCCTTGTGGCCCTGCTGTCGTTCTCTCTCGCTCTCGCTTTCGCTCGCCGTCGTCGTCGACGTCGTCGTTGTCGTCATCGTCGTGGTTGGTCCCCTGTCCGTCCCATTTGGGGTCGGGTCGACGGTCCGCGGCCGCCCCGCCGATCAGCATTGCCGCTGGCCAGGCCGACGGTCCGCAGCCGCCCCGCCGCTTGCCGGGGCCCACCCTGCAGGGAAGAAAGGTATACCTTCCAAAAGGGGTTCGATCGAAGACGAAGAGGGCTGGTATCGAGGGTTAGGGAAATACGCGGTATTGGACACTCGAGCAAATAACGGCGAACAGTCTTAAATTGATTGTTGTTGTTGTTGTTGTTGGTGGTGTTGGTGTTGTTGTTGTTGAAGTTGGTTGTCCCACGTACCATTCGGTGTCACCCCACTCCGTCATTCGAGACGTTCGCACACGTGTTCGAAGGAGATGCCCAATCCGAAAGGACCGTGGCAGGCCATACCACGTAGGTCGCGAGTGTGATTCTTGCGACCTTGTGATGACATACCGCGAGGCGTGGTGTGTGTGTGGCCAACAAACGATTGGCCACGCTCCACAGTGCCCAGGTCACGCACATGGCCATGAGAGCCAGTGTGCAGCATCTGGGGGGGGCAAAGTAAGAACCACCAGTACGTCCTTTCTCCACCTCCCTCACCGGGCAAAGCAGAGGAAAAGAGGAGAGTGAAGAGGGGTTGGGGGGCACTGATGGTGTATACTTTGGGCCCAAAACATACCCTGATAAGTGCTGTGTGCTGCATCCTTCCCAGGATTGTTCACAGAGCGGCCCGATGTTCTGGGCGGTCAGGGTGTCGAGCTGCTTTGGAGGCCCATGGCATTGCGCGCGTCCAAAATGCTTTCTCTTTGGTCATGAGTGCATCCGTCTGGACCGCGATGTTCCCTTCATATTTCGTCTGCCCTTGCTCTGCCAGCAGTTCGAGCCCCTTTAGGTTGTCGAGTAGTCTCTCTTCTTCTGTTGGTCATCCCCTTCTTTGGTGGTGGTGATGATAATGTTGATGATGATGGTGATTGTGGTAATGATGATGCTGATGATGATTTTACTGGTGATGATGATAATAGTGATGGTGAAGGTAATGGTGATGTTGATGGTGGTGATGATGATGATGGTGGTGGTGACTATGATGATTATGATGATTATGATGATGATGATGATGATGATGATGATGATGCTGACGATGATGATGATGATGATCATGATGATCATGATGATGATGATGATGATGTTGATGATGATTATGATGATGATGCTAATGATGATAATGATGATGATCCCCGCGGCTGAAGGGGACAGAAGCTCTTAGCTCGTACTGCCCCTCGGACCAAGGCGTTTCCCTCTGGCCCTGCGTAGGCAACGCCCAGTCTCGTGCGCCTCGGCGCACACGCAGATTCGCCTGAGTGCCGAGAGCACTCATCCGCCTCAGCCGAGGCAAGCGGCTGAGTGATCACAGCAGTCAAAGCGACTCAGCACGCACGGCAGCCAGCCAAAAGCCGCGGTTGCGGATCCAGCGGGCTGGTACGCAGCATTGCTGCACACCGCACCTGAGAAGCAATTAGGTCCCAGGCTCCAGGCCTCACCGACACGGTTGCTCCTCAGGCCTGCGAAGATCGAACCAGAGAGTGGGCGGGCTTACGCTCTCGGGTCTCCCCACACGCCAGAGCGACGGGCAGGGAAGCTGTCGCGAAACCGCGGCAGCGCCTACACTGAGCGGGAGCGTGCAAGCACGCCGAAAGAGGTGAGCGGGCAACAGTGGCCACTGGGGCCTCCGGTGGGGCTCCCTATGGGGCCACGATGCGTGTGAGCGGTGTGCGGGAATGCGGGGTGGAACGGCATGCCGGCGCTGCCATTGGGGCCTTCGGTGACGCTCCCGATGGGGCCGCGAGGCGTATGAGCGGTGCACCGAGATGGGGGTGCAACCGCAGGCGGGCGCTGCCATTGGGGCCTTCGGTGGAGCGGGCCGCGAAGCGTGTAAGGAGTGCACCGAGATGGGGGCGGAACTGCAGGCGGGCGCTGCCACTGGTGCCTTCGGTGGAGTTCCCCACCAGGCCACGAAGCGTGCAAGCGGTGTGCCGAAATGGAGGTGGAACCGCATGCGGGCGTTGCTATTGGGGCATGCGGTGGAGCTCCCTACGGGGCCACGAAGCGAGCGAGGGGTGCACCGCAATGAAGGGTTGAACTGCAGGCGGGCGCTGCCACTGGGGCCTTCAGTGCAGCTCCCTACGAGGCCACGAAGCGTGCGAGGGGTGCACCGCAATGAAGGGTTGAACTGCAGGCGGGCGCTGCCACTGGGGCCTTCAGTGCAGCTCCCTACGAGGCCACGAAGCGTGCGAGGGGTGCACCGCAATGAAGGGTTGAACTGCAGGCGGGCGCTGCCACTGGGGCCTTCAGTGCAGCTCCCTACGAGGCCACGAAGCGTGCGAGGGGTGCACCACAATGAAGGGTGGAGCTGCAGGCGGGCGCTGCCACTGGGGCCTTCGTTGAAGCTCCCTACGGGGCCACGAAGCGTGTGAGAAATTCACCGAAGTGGGGGTGGAACTGCAGGCGGGCGCTGCCACTGGGGCCTTCGGTGGAGACCGCTATGGGGCCACGAAGCGTGTGAGGAGTGCACCGAGATAGGGGCGGAACTGCAGGCGGGCGTTGCCACTGGGGCTTTCGGTGGAGTTCCCCACCAGGCCACGAAGCGGTGTACCGAAATGCGGGTGGAACCGCATGCGGGCGTTGCTATTGGGGCCTGCGGTGGAGCTCCTTACGGGGCCACGAAGCGAGCGAGGGGTGCACCACAATGAAGGGTTGAACTGCAGGCGGGCGCTGCCACTGGGGCCTTCGGTGAAGCTCCTTCTGGGGCCGCGAAGCGTGTGAGCGATGTGCCGACATAAGGGTGGAACCGCATGCCGGCACTGCCACTGGGGCCTTCGGTGACGCTCAATATGGGGCCGCCACTTGGGCATTCGGTGGAGCACCCTATGAGGCCACAATACGTGTGAGAGGTTCGCCGAAACGGGGGGTGGAGTCGCACGTGGGCGTTGCAGCTGGGGCCTTCGGTGAAGCTCCCTAGGAGGCCACGAAGCGTGTGAGCGGTGTGCCGAAATGTGGGTGGAACCGTATGCGGGCGTTGCCACTGGCGCCTTCGGTGAATGTTCCTTCTGGGGCCGCGAAACGTGTGAGGGGTGCACCGAAATTGGGGTGGAACTGCAGGCGGGCGCCCCCTATGGGGCCTCGAGGCGTGTGAGCGGTGTGCCGAAATGCTGGTGGAACTGAATGCGGGCGCTGCCATTTGGGCTTTCTCTGGGGCTCCCCATGGGGCCGCGAAGCGTGTGAGGGGTGCACCGAGATGGGGGTGGAACTGCAGGCGGGCGCTGCAGCTGGGGCCTTCGGTGAATCTCCCTATGGGGCCACGGAGCGTGTGAGCGGTGGGCCGAAATGGGGGTCGAACCGCATGCGGGCGTTGCCATTGGGGCCTTCGGTGACGCTCCCTATGGGGCCGCGAAGCGTATGAGCGGTGCACCGAAGTGGGGGTGGAACTGCAGGCGGGCGCCGCCACTGGGGCCTTCGGTGGAGCTCCCTATAGGGCCACGATGCGTGTGAGCGGTGTGCCGAAATGGGGGGTGGAACCGCATGCGGGCGCTGCCACTGGGGCCTTCGGTGAATCTCCCTAGGGGGCCGCGAAGCGTATGAGCGGTGCACCGAAATGCGAGCGGAACTGCAGGCGGGCGCTGCCATTGGTGCCTTCGGTGGAGTTCCCCACCGGGCCACGAAGCGTGCAAGCGGTGTGCCGAAATGGAGGTGGAACCGCATGCGGGCGTTGCTATTGGGTCCTGCGGTGGAGCTCCCTACGGGGCCACGAAGCGAGCGAGAGGTGCACCGCAATGAAGGGTTGAACTGCAGGCGGGCGCTGCCACTGGGGCCTTCAGTGCAGCTCCCTATGGGGCCACGACGTGTCTAGAGGTGCACCGAAATGGAGGTGGAACGGCAGGCCGGCGTTGCAACTGGGGCCTTCGGTGGAGCTCCCTACGAGGCCATGAAGCGTGCGAGGGGTGCACCGCAGTGAAGGGTGGAGCTGCAGGCGGGCGCTGCCACTGGGGCATTCGTTGAAGCTCCCTACGGGGCCACGAAGCGTGTGAGGGGGTTCACCGAAGTGGGGGTGGAACTGCAGGCGGGCGCTGCAACTGGGGCCTTCGGTGAATCTCCCTATGGGGCCACGGAGCGTGTGAGCGGTGGGCCGAAATGGGGGTCGAACCGCATGCGGGCGTTGCCATTGGGGCCTTCGGTGGAGCTCCCTATGGGGCCACGAAGCGTATGAGCCGAAACAGTGGCATGCGGAGGGCAAAGGCGGGGATGGGATGGGAGGAGGAGGGGGGGAGGGAGAGAGCAGGGGGAGGAAGAGGAGGAGGAGGAGGAGCAGGAGATGAGGAGGAGATGAGGAGGAGATGAGGAGGAGATGAGGAGGAGGAGGACCGTGGGGCGCTGTCTCTTCAAAGCGAGGGCCCAAACCCACAGAATGGCTGGGACAAAGCCTTCGGTCCTGATTCGGCGCTCCTCCTGGTGGCACGATGACTGTAAGGTTTTTCGTCTTTCACACTCTCGTGCCCCATCCCCAGAGTCAACTTGGCCCGAACGATCCGAGTTGATCTCGATTCTGGCCGCCCCGATTCGCTTCGACCCCGACGACCCGCTGCGGCCCGATGCCGCCGTGACGCTGCCGTGCATCCTGGCGCAGCCGATCCGATTCGGCTGCTGGTCCGTGCCAACGCGGTTGGATGAGATGCACGTTCCGATTCGGCCCGGTCTGCCGAGCCGTTGCTGACTGATCTTGCCCAGCCCCCGCTCTGCCACGACAGCTTGGCCCAGGCTGCCTCGGCAGCGGGGCCTCCCCGGCGCGCGCGCCCGGCGGGCGCCCGCCCGGGATGGCCGACGCCCAGCCGGGGTGCCGCGGGGGGGCGGGGTCGAGCAGTGGCGAAGCGTCTTGGCACGACAAGCAGGCCCGCCAAGAAAGGTTCTGAGAACCTTGTGTGGTTTGCGCGAAATGCTCTTAGAAATATGTCGGACGTGTCCCCCTATAGGGGGATTTTTCGACGAAAAATAAATTAGCCTGGCGAAGGACCCAACCATATGCAACTGTGAATACCGCAAGTGTGAATATCGTTTTCGGCGGCGCTACCTCTGGGGTAGTGGAGACGCACTGGGGCGAACACCTGCCCACTGCGGGCCTGGGGCCTACGGTGGAGCTCCCTCTGGGGCTACGAAACGCTGCCCTGGGTGGGGGAACCGCATGAGGGCAGCCCCACTGGGGCCTACGGTGGAGCTCCCTATGGGGCTACGAAACGCTGCCCTGGGTGGGGGAACCGCATGTGGACACCCCCACTGGGGCCTTCGGTGGAGCTCCCTCTGGGGCTACGAAACGCTGCCCTGGGTGGGGGAACCGCATGTGGACACCCCCACTGGGGCCTTCGGTGGAGCTCCCTATGGGGCTACGAAACGCTGCCCTGGGTGGGGGAACCGCATGTGGACACCCCCACTGGGGCCTTCGGTGGAGCTCCCTATGGGGCTACGAAACGCTGCCCTGGGTGGGGGAACCGCATGCGACACCCCCACTGGCCTTCGGTGGAGCTCCCTATGGGGCTACGAAACGCTGCCCTGGGTGGGGGAACCGCATGCGAACACCCCCACTGGGGCCTTCGGTGGAGCTCCCTATGGGGCTACGAAACGCTGCCCTGGGTGGGGGAACCGCATGCGGACACCCCCACTGGGGCCTTCGGTGGAGCTCCCTCTGGGGCTACGAAACGCTGCCCTGGGTGGGGGAACCGCATGTGGACACCCCCACTGGGGCCTTCGGT